TCATAAAAATCATGCATAATAAAAATGCCACAAACAATTTTGTTTTGGCTAAAATCAGTGGAGCTGGCAAGGGGTTGGGGGTGCGGGGGGAGAGAGGTTGTCGCCACTTGGCCTGTCACTTGCAGGCTGTCCGTTTCAACGGGCAAACTCTGCTCTATTTTTGGGCACACAAAACATGATTATTTTCATTTGGGGTTGGCTCTTTCTTTCTTTCTATCGTTCGTTCTTTCGTTCCATTCTGGTCTTTCTTTTCTCTCCCACTGCGCTGCTTCAAATGCTGATTAAGTACCGTTATCGCTGCCCCTAAAGAGTGATGTGGGGTGGGGAGGGTTCTGCTGATGGGGCAGGGTCCATTGACAGTTTCCCCATTTTCATTCTTTTGGGTTGCAAAACAAATTCAAGTGCTTGATGTGGGTGTGTGAATCACTATGAGTGAGTGTGTTGTTGAGTTTTTTTTTTTTTGCGCGAATATATTGCGAGTGGGGGAGTGTGAATGTCGGGTGCGTGTGCGTGTGTGTGTGTGTATATTAATCATATTATTTACTTTTTTTTGCCCATGAATTTATGACAAACTCTGATGGCTCCTTGTGATGCTCTCAAGAAGGGCAGCGATTGAGTGCGAGGGCGAAACTGGGTAGGAGCAGTGGGCGAGCAGCAGCAGGACTGCGTTGACTTTAGGTCAAGCTAATCCATCGCAGAGCAAGGCCAAAGCCAGGGGGGAAACTCCATCAATGATCACTTGGCGTATGCAAATGAATCAATATTTAATGATTCCATTTTTATACCCGTACTCAAAAAAGTAGCAGGAACGTTACCCTGTTGAGGGGGGGGGGGGGGGGGGGGGCCCGGGGCGGCCGGTGCGGGGGCGGCTTATACAGACAGCGGAATTATAACTGCCAGCATCAAGCCTCACATCGCTTACAGGAATCGCTCGGCATTCGATGGCGTCTCCTGTCCATGTCTCCACTTCCCTGGGACTTGCTGCAAGCATGTGGGAAACCACATGGAAAGCATCTTCAATCGCTCAACTCTTTCCTTTATCACTGACCACTTTGCGGCATAATCAATGGATTACAAAAACACACTCTGGTCACACTAAGCCCAGCCCCAGTGCTGCAAAAGTCAGCGTCAGAATGCATACAAAAGCAATTAATGGCGGCGAACATGTGTAAGGCAGAGACACAAACACACGCACAGTGGACAGTGGACAGTGGGGACAGGGGACAGGGGACATGGACTCACAGTCCCTTTACTCTTTGCAGCAGCAGCAGCACAGGCAAACAAACAAACAAACAAACAGTCTTGATGAGATTAGAGCAATGAACATGGCAATGGTGAACTTTGGGCGAGGCTACTTTGACTTGGCTCCAGTGTGTCGTATCTCCTGGGCCCTGCTGGTCGCCAACTTCCTACAAGCCAGCCCCATGCCAGGCAGGGGCAGTCAGGACTGCGTGTGTGTGCACGCTTTTACACTTTCAATGACCACTTGAATGTCAACAAAAGCTTTCTACTGACATATACAACCACTTAAAATAGAAAAGCACTGCCCCCATACACACACACACACACACAAAGGGCGAGAGAGGGAGAGTGGCAGAGTGGCAGGAGGAGCGTGGAAGGAAGAGTAGCAGAGAGAAGAGGGCCAAAATGCTTGTGTATTTGTTTTAGCCGCGAGTTAAAACGAGCCGTGTAACCAACAACAAAACAAGAAAACAACAAAATCCACAGCAGCCTCGCCCGCCCACACCACCGCCTCCCTACCTACCCTACCTACCCTACCTCCCTGTGTGCCACGTTGCGTATGAGTAACATATATTCGCGTTTGCCTTGCCACGCCCATTGCTGTGCCTGCCCGTTCGCCTGTCTGTTCGTCTGTGTCATAAACAATAATTCTCCATTGTTGGCATCCCTTTCCGGCATCTCTCTCTTGTTGCTTTTCTCTCCCCCCCCCCCAAAGGTGGAGCCTGGGGGCTGCGCACATTTTTATGAGTTAAGTGCTATCCAGCAAGCACAAATGCCAGCGCACACAGTGCTGGGGGAGCCCTGCCAATCTTCCTCACCTTCGGTTACCAATCTCGAGCTGCCACCCATACCCATCCATACCCATACCCTACCCTTCGCTTCGCTTCCGCCAACCCCATCGACCAACTTCTGGCATTTCTCATTTCCTAGAGTCGTCTTGCCCAGTCTCTTCTTGTGGCAGCAACGACTGGACCGACGACACGACCGTGTTACTGCCCACTTACTCGTATTGTGCTGTTGTTGACGCAAATCCTCTTAACTAAATCAATTTTCATTTGTGTGTGTGTGTGTGTTTGTTTGCCAGTGAGGCACTGTGGCACTGTGGATCCGATGTATCTGTATCTGCATCTGTGTCCCGTATCCGTATCTGTTTCTGTATTTGTGTATGCCCAAGTGTATGGAGAGAAAATGCCAACAGACTTGGCCGAGTTAAACTATTTGTACTTGTGCTTGGGGATTCTTTCGCTTCCATTGTAAACTCTCTGCACTCTGTCCTCTCCTCCCCTTTGAAGACGGCCGGCTCGCTAAGTAAATCAATTTGTTTGAGGGGCAGAGAGAGATACGGTCGGCTATCTGGCTGGATCATAGAAGGAAAGGAAACCCAGAGATCTAATCTCCAAGCAGCATGCAACTTTCCGGCTGCAGCTCAAAGCTCCCTGCTTAGTCCCTGCTCCCTGCTCCCTGCTCCCTGCTCCCTGCACAAACTATTTTCCTATACCCAACTGCATCTGACAAGCGTTGCGTTGCGTGTGTGTGCTGCGTGTGTGGGTGGTGTGGGTGGCTTTCCGGTATATGGGTTAGAGTGTAATTAACACCTGACACTTGCACAGCTATGCAGGCGAGAGTTGGCTCTTGGCTCTTGGCTGGTGGCTGCTGGCTGGTCGAGCAGAGGGCGTTGAGTAGGGTGCGGGGGGAGCAGGCAGGGCCCATTTGATGCTTTTAATGACAAGTTAATTTGCTCTGCCTCGGTTACCATATTTGTGTGTGTGTCTGTGTGTGTGCATGTAATTTGAATACCTGTATCCATGTGGTTGCACGCCATTAGAAGATCAACACAAAGCGCCGCAACAGGCAGTTGCTCAGCCACATGCTGCGGCAGGTGAACTGTGTGCTCCCACCGGCAGCTCAAGTGGTTCCTTTAAGTGGTTTCCCGTGACTTTCACATCTCCCAGTTTTTGGTAATTATTCATAAAGATTTTGCAATAATATTCAAGGCTCATTCACCCACGCACTGATTTCAGATCTTTGAGATCCTTGCGATCCTTGACACACACACACACACACATGCCAGCACAATTGCTCTCTTCAGCACGTTTCCTTGTCACAGTTTGCGGGATGTACTCAAGCAGCTTTTGAGGCCTTGGAACTATTGGCTGAGATGGCAGTCAGACGGTCGAAAAGTCACCTGAAAAGCCGCACCACTGCGTCCCTTTCGGAGTCAGTCACTGAAGTGTAGCCTCGCGCATAGCTGCCACCCGCCCAAAGAATCCTTAGCCAAGTCTCAAAATTTTAAATACTTTTCAAAGGAACAGTCCAGTTCTTCGATATTTTTTTGCTTCTTTATTTTTATCAATTTAAAATTTGTGTTAATTTTTATTATGCGCTTGAAAAGGGGGAAGTTGGAAAAGCAGGGAGAAAAGGGGAAAGCAGGGGGGGGGGGGGGGGGGGGGGGGGGGGGGGGGGGGGGGAAAGCAGTGAGAGGAGGGAAAGCAGGGAGAGGAGCGAAAGGAGTGCCTGCACAAATAAATAATTAAGTAAAATATTCAATTATGCCTGAACGAGTTTCTTGTTTTCATTTCTCTGACAAGTTGCCACATTTGTTATTGTCAAATGACACTCTGACAGGACACAGTGCTGCCGCTGCCCCGCTCACCACTGCCCCCTCTGCCACCACGAAGTGTCTGTGCGTGGCTGTTTGTTAATTTCATTTGACTTTCGAGCGTTTTAATTACGTCTGTTCGTTCGTTCTGTTGCTGCTGCTGCTCCTGCTGCTGCTGCTGCAATTGCAATTGCAAATTTTTTATAATTTGCCAGCGCTCAAATAAACACACAATTAATTGTGGCAGCTCCGGACATGGCAGCAGCAGCAGCAGCAACAGCTTTCAACCAATTAAGAGCCAGCCGGGGTCGCCATTGGCGTGTTTGAGCAGAGGAAGTGCAGCGGGCTGCTGTATGATACAGCTTATTTCAGTTATTCCTGTTGCTGTCGCTCCATTTGCGCATTTGCATAGCTAAGCCAATATTCAGCTACAGGACACAATCCGAATGCTGATGAGCTGGGGATGGGGATGGGGAATAGGAATAGGGATCTACTTGGGATTGGGATTGGAACTGGACTAGGGCCCTTCCATCAATCTGTCAGTTGGTGAGCCAGTCAGGAGTCAAGTCTCGACGGCATCGTCAGACGGAAGGCAGGCAGTCAGGCAGGCAGTCAGTCTGTCAGTCTGTCAGTCAGTGAGTCAGTCAATCGAACAATCAATCATAGAGAATGACAGCTACGTCGGCTTAAGTTAAAGTCAGCAAGCGGCCCAAGATGAGAGTTTGTCTCAGTGGCAGTTCGCATTTCCCATTTGCCTCCCATTTCCCCCCACACACACACACACATTGATTTATATGCAGGGAGCGCCAAAAATTGAATGTTATTGCTTGAATGGCCGCAATTTACTAAAAAGCCACGCCCCCCCCCGCTTGGCCTGCCTCCCTGGGCCCATGTCTGGGCCGTGGCCCGTGGCCCGTGGCCTCTGGCCTCCGGCTTGTGGCTCCATCGTGCTCGGTTATTTATGAGCGTGTTTATTTATTATATGACCCAACACTTGATAAAATTAAACGCAAATGGCTGGCAATTTTGCATTTTGATTTTGCCACCCTCCGGCAACCAGGCACAGCCAGACACAGCCACAGAGCCTGCCATTCAGACACCGTATATAGTGGGTAATACTCTCATGTATAAGGAGAGGTGTATATAAAAATTGACTTACCAGAAAGTAAACAGCAAATGGCATCACTACCACGGCGACCAGTAGATCGGCAATGGCTAAAGAAACTATAAAATAATTCGTGACTGTCTGCAGCGATCGCTCGCGGCACACGGACAATATGACCAGGATGTTGCCGAAGAGGGTCAGGATGGGAAACAGTATCAAGATGAGTGCCCAATAGTTGTGGTCCACTGCAAGCAAATAAATTGTAGAGCTGAGCCCTGTGGGCGCTTTGCGGTTTTGGACTCACCAATTCTCAGCTCGCCACACGATTCTGACGTGAGGTTCAGCGACGTCTCGTTGGTACAGTTCATCCGATAGGTGTCCAGGAACAGGCCCGTGAGGTTCTGTTCCATCAGGATGCCGCCGCTGCCGCCGGCGCTGCCGCTGCTCGGTGTTGTTGCTGCGGCCGCCGATGTTATTGTTGTGCCCGAAACCGTGCTGCCATTGTAGTTGGGAAAGTATTCGTTAAAGTTCTCCAGTAGCAGCATAAATGAGCTGCCACCACCGCCAGCACCAGCACCACCACTTCCTCCTCCACCACCGCTCGACACTGCCGCCGCCGTGCGATTCCTGATCGTCGCCTTGGCCATCGTAGCCGTCCGCTGTAGCAGCTCGACATCACCGAAGCCGCCCAACAGACCGTAGTCCGTTTCCGCATCGGCCACGTTGTCAAGGGCCGCCTCCTCCCCGCTGTCGATCAGCGCAATGTCCGCCTCATCCCCGGCCCCGGCCCCGGTGCCGGCCTCCCCGCCGGCCAACTGCTGCTCCACAAAGTTGCGCAGCGCGTAGAGGCCGTCGCCGGGCGCCTCCTCCTCCGCCTCGTCCACCATGCTGGAGTTGGCCCGACTGGGCAGCGTGCTGTTGAGCGCTTCGCCCAGATCGAGGCTCAGCCAACCCAGGGTATCATTGGTGCTCGAGGTGGCTGTGTCCGTACCCGCACCCGTACCCGCACCCGCACCCGCACCGATTCCCATTTTCGTTGCCATCGCTGCTGCCGTCGACGTGGACGTGGACGTTGACGTGGCGTTCTCGGCGCTGGCGGAGCTGAGGAGCCAGTCGCTGATGTCGTCGATTAGGCCGTAGCCGTCATCCTCCGCCGCCGTCTGCGTCTCGTCCTCGTACAGCGGCAGGTAACCGGTCGTTGGCGTCGGGGGGGCTCCGATCCCGACGCCATCTTCCCCCAGTACCAACCCATCCTTAGCGACGGCATCGCTGCGGTTCCCATCCGCCGAACGGTTCAGCAGGTGGTTCATCAACGCTCGCCCGGTGTCTGTGCCCGTTGTGGTTGCTGCTGTTTCCGCTGCTGCTGCTGCTCCTCCCGATGTTGCTCCTGATGTTGCTCCTGATGTTGCTCCCGATGTTGCTGTTGCATTTCCTCGGCTAGCGGCCATTTTTCCCTTTGCCGTTGCCGTTGGACGCCTCCGCCTCTGACTGTGTGTCAGGGGCCTAGACCTTTAGTGGGGCGGAGGCGTGGCTAGAGCCACAAGCTGCAACTGCAACGCCAGTGGCATTTTCACTTTAACTGTAGAGAAAATGAATAGAGAGAGAGAGAGAGATGATTAGATGAATGTGCACTATGCAGCTGCAATGGGATCGGGAATGGGAATCAATGGGAATCGAGTCATCTGTCCGCTGTTCGTTAGCTGACAGAATGGTGGGGGACATTTACACCAACGCTTAGTGTGGGGCATCCATTCTATTGCTTGCCTGCTCATTGGAGTCTTCGTTTAAACACACACAGCCATGCACCCACAGCCGTGTAGTTTGTTGCTCTCTGTGCCAATGCCCCAATCCCCTGCCACCAACTGCCCAGCCTCGCTCCAGCCCTCCCACTTTGCCCGTACCGTATTTGGCACGCCCTCTTCTGTTGGCTGGCATTGCCGCATGTTTAATTAACTCTTTAATCAATTTATTGCCAATTATTCTACAAAAAGCGACAGCGAAAATGGTATAATTTAATTAAATTAGCAAAAGGTTTTTGTGTCTCTCGCCTCACTTGCCTCTCCCCCGCCCCCCCAAACCCTAGCCAACCCAACCCAACCCACGACTTGTCCTCTCCTCGCTCTCTCTCTCTCTGTCTCTGCTTTGCTGCTCTATCCTTGCCCTTACACACTTTCAAATTTCCCGCTTTTGTATTTGCCAATTGACGCTGATTAAAGCCGGCCATAATTAAAAGATGGCTCGTTGTTGCCTAATGAGACTAAAGTACCAGCAAAACGGGCGCTGGAAGCACGGGGAGAGAAGAGCGAGCAGCCAGCAAGCTGTACTTAAATTTCAATAGGTCAAAAGTAATCGAAGTGCCAGCAGCAGTAGGGAAAACTACGTTCAACTTCACTCATTACGCTCGTTTTGCGAGTTCCGATCAGGGGATCCCTGTCAGAAGGTTCCATCAGCGGCAGTGTTCCCCCCCCGGCCAGAGATTTAGCAAAATGTTTGCACTAATCAAATTTTTTGGCACACGACCAAGACAGCCAGCGGATGTTGGAGAGGAGCCCATCAAAATGCCGCAATGCTGCATGTGTCCCGTGTGCATCTGTACGTGTGCGTGGCATTTTCATTAATTACGCCAGCAAGTGGCAACTGAACCGAACCTGAACGGAACCGAACCGAACCCCCACTTGGAACTCAACTCAAGTCGAGTAATTAATTTCACTTTCGCCTGAGCGAGGCCTTTGAATATGCGCCAGCCACACGCAATCCATAAAGCACAGTCAGAGTTAAGTTTCAGCCTCAGTCTCAGCTTCAGACCCAGCCTCAGCCTCAGACTCAGCCTCAGTTCGGTTGAGTTGAGTTGAGCCGGTTAGTTGGTTGGCTGCAGAACTGTGGGAACTGTGAGCTGTGGTGAGTGCCATTTCCGGTGGCAGGACAGGGACCACCCCTTAAGCAAACACCAACCAAAATTAAAGATATATTGTAGGCATGCACGACAGTAGGGGGGGCTTAAGAAGAAGCAGAACGAATCGAAGGGCTGCAGGAAAAGAGACTGCGGCTATGGCTGACATATTTTGGATACCTTTTGGTTGGCATAGATTTTTAGAGGTGAGATTTTGCTGCTCATATAGACAGCCATTGCCTGTAGACAAAGGGACCGCCAAGATTACCCACGTGTAAGCGGTAGAAGAATATTGATAGAGTGGCGGGGCAGTGTGGCAATCACCAAAACATTTAATCGACACCTTTTTATCCTGAAGGTATTTGGAAGGGAGACAGGCTTGTCTGCTCTATAACATCGTAGTCATTGTTGGGCCTGCCTGGCCTGCCGCAAAGGCTGCTTGCCTGGTCTGCGGGGGGAATGCTGCTGAAATCTGTATGGGGGTTTTAGCATGATGAACCAAATGCATTTCCGAATCACTTTTGTGGCAGCAAGCGGTTGAGAATGTCGTCCTTAGCCCTGGCTAAAATATGGCTCGAGTAAAATTATTCCGCCCATAAAAGCAGAAGAAAACGGTGAGGGGGAGGGGCGCATGGGGCACGCCTAATCACTTGACCCCACTCAACCTTGGAGCATTTATAATATGACGTGTCCGCTGCGGCTGCGGCTGCAATCCAATCCGAGCAATCCAATCCAATGTCGTGGCTCATTAACAACATCCGGACAATGGGAAGGCATTTCCTTCTGCCCCCCTCCCATCACCTCTCTCTCTCTCTCTCTCTTCACTCTCTATCCTGCAGCGCACCACACGGCACTCAATAAATCAGCAAGTGTAATTATTTCCAACGCCAAAGTCGAGTCGCGTTGAGCCGAGACGGGTCGGGTCGGGTCGAGGAGGCGCTCGCTCGCTCGCGTGCGACAGTCGACTGTTGACGGTGGTGCAGGGGTGCCAGCGGGTGAGAGTGGTGGAAAGTGAAGCGAAAGTTTGTCAGCAACATTTTTGCTCTCGTGCCCAGCCGGGTGCCAAGGTCACCACACATGGCTGGGGCAGGCGATTGGGACTGGGATTGGAATTGGAATCGGAATGCCCCCTGCAGCTGCTTCGAGAAACTTTCCTTCCCCTGCTGGTGGCTCATTTTACTCACAATTATTTGTGTAATTTTAGGTCGGGCCTCTGCATTGCGTCGCCAGCGAAAGTTTTCGCATTGGGCGCAGCAGCAGCAGCAGCACACGATGACCGATGGAGGTCAGGTCAAGGAGTGCTTCCTACCGGCGACGGCTTCAATTGCACTCCGTCCCAGGACATCCGATCACGTGCCCGTTCTTAATAACTTTGACCCCTGCCCATAATTCCAGCGAAGTGCCAATGGCAGGGGGCATCCATGGAGAGTGGCAGGGATGGAGAGATAAGCAAATTGGTTTCAGATTTTGCCTGGCACGGGCACTGGCACTGGCACATGTTGCCCCCAGGGGCGGAAAGAATCACGACACCAAAAACCTATCTATGTATCCCAGAGTGTACCAGAGTGTCCATATGTGTGTGTGTCCATGTGTCGGTGCTGCCTGCGGGACTGAACAGATGCTGCCGCCTGGGCAGGATAACACCATTTCATGGCCATTTGCCCGCCACATCTCCGCGTAGCTCACTCCCACAGTTCTCTCTCTGTCTCTCTCTCTCTCTCGCTCTCTCTGTGCAGATAAAAACGCCCTCGGCATGTGCTTGTTAACCAGTTATGCGACGGCTCCGCTGTCCGAAACTTTAAACATTTGACACCAGTGTCAATGAGCACACACTGGAGCAACCTCGACAGGAGCAGACACGAGAATACACACAAAGGACAAAGACACAGCCACAGTCACAGTTATGGAAACTTTTTGCAGTTGTGCGACATCAGCATGACATTTGATTAATTCCATTAGTCGACAGTGCAGTGGAACCAGAGGGGCAAACCGAGTTAATGCTCAAGGCTGTGACAACGGGGCGTATAGCAGCAACACGTATACGCAACGTTGACTGGCGTCAGGGCAGGGGAAGCGTCACCAGAGTATCAGGAGGAAAAACTCCTTTCTTAGGGAAGGAAGCAAAAATTCAAAAAGGGAACAAGTCGAAGATCTTTTCTTGAATCGATCGAAGATATCCTCCAGTACTCACGGGAGAGTAATTATTTCTGGACTGTGCCTTTTTCCGATAGCTCAATCGTAGAAGCAGAATATCTTTGTGCGCCCTTTTTGGGGCTATAAAATAAGACGCTCTCCACTGAAGCCTCTCCGCAAGCGTCAAAGGAGATAATGCCATGTGGTGGCAGCTGGCCGATCAATTGGCGAATGATCCGTGTAGAAGATGCCGTGCTCGTATATAAATTTGCTGACATTTCTTTGGGCAGCTTTAAGCGAATGGCTCGAATGGGTTTGGGTTTTGGTCTGCAGGTGGGGTGGGGGTGGAGGGAGGGTTTCAGATGGGTTGGGGTTGGTTGACAAAGGGAAGCGCGACTAGATATATTTTTGTATATGGGACAAAAACCGCTTATCGCTTCAAGTCTACTCAAGCGTCAACAGAGCGATTCATTCGAGAATTTCTTATGCTTCACTGAACCAGAAGTGTCGTCGTCGTCGTTGTCGTTGTCCACCCACAGCACAAGCAACATCCACAGCCATAGCCATAGCCACAGCCACATCCACATTCACGTCCACTTCCATGTCGATGTCGTTGTCGTTCGCATCGCTGCTATATTTATACATACTCGTGTATATATATGTATATATATATATATATGTATGGATATATCCAGAGGTGTGTTTGTGCCAGTCATCTACCCCCTTGGCAGCCAGCAGCCAGCCAGTCCCTGCCTCAATCTCAGCCCCCTTCCTATTATCATCATTTACACAGCCTGGCCAATGGTTGCCCCTTTTTTTTTTATGCCAACGCATTGGATTTACCCTCCTCCTCCCTTGGCAGTTATTTCTTTTCTTTTATACTCATTCTTTTTTTTTTTGTGCGGCTCGTATTCTTCTCTAATGGAAAATTATTGAAAAGAAAAGCCAAATTGCACGCTCAATTTTCTGCGAGGGGGGGGGGTGGATGGGATGCAGGAGGCGGAGGCTGTCATGTCCTGTTATTTCTTTCTTTCCAATGAATTTCTTTGCTGATGCAGAAAAAGTAAAGTGAGTCCAAATTGACGGCAAGGAGTGGTCTCTCGTCGAAAAAGCGGAGCAGCCGCAGCAGACCACAAATAAAAATAAAAAAACCAGCAGCAGCAGACCAGCGCCCCAGCAATCTAAGCAGCAGATTGTCCTTTTCTTGTCCAGGGACCAAGGACCCTGGACTGGAAACACTCGACAGCCAACAGGAGCCGATTACGAAGTCTTTATTGGATTATAATTCGTACGGGAAAAGGCCTAAAAGTGTCCAAAGGATGATAGACCAACAGAGACAGGAGGAGAGGCAGAGCAAATTGGAAGATTATCAAATGTGATTCTCTGAGTATTTTCACTCTCTCCCTCGTGCAGCTGAACGTATGATTAATATTTTATTTTAAAAGGATTTTCTGCAACTAATTTCCATTTCAATTGTGTTTTATTTTCATTTATTTTACTATTTTTAGTACGCGGATGATTTAAATTGAAATAATCAATTAGAAGACATATTTTAA